ATTTTTACTATATGAAAGTGCGTCCATGGAAAAAAAAACCCTGTTCATCTTGACCTCTGAATGCAATCTATATCATATGAATATATTTTACGATTTTTTGTTAATATGAGGTGAAAATATTTTTTTTCGGTTAAAAATACACACGTTAATGTACAGAATTACTTTCGATAAGAAATAGCCATACCAAAAGCCCTGACCCTTTGGCCTTAATCTGTATTCAAAATATTTTTTTTCAAGCAATCTTCGGCCAAAATATGGCTGAAATACTGCCAGCACGGCCTCAAACAATATTCAATCAAACAATCCAAGCAATTTTCTACTCAGAAATTAAAAGAATTTTGAATTAAGCTTTGATAATGTACGATGTATGGTATGACAATGAGCTAAACCACAACAAAGTTCTTTTACGACTTATAGCATGAAAAAAGCTTCAATACTTTGGTTTACAATACATGGCCGTAGGAACCGGGGGGGGGGGGCGGGGGCATTGGGGGGGGGCGTCCCCCCCCCAATAATTTTGCCGATATATAGATTACTAAAGAAAACATAGATGCTACATGTATATGCCTGTGCCTCCTCAATAAAAACGTCTGATGACCTTTTTTTTTTTGCTTGTCAAGAAATTTTTGGTAGTTGATAGTGCCCCCTCAACTGAATCAACTGAAAATGTACGCTGTGCCCCCCCCCCCCCCCCCAACTGAAATTGCTTCCTACGAGCCTGCAATAGCCAACTACAATAAACTGTAGTTTACTATTAATAGTATATCATAGGACAATTTGTTAGGGAAATTACAAAATTTAGAACGTGTATTCTATTTTATTTTTACCTACCCCCACACAGTACATTCACATTTTAGAAATAAAGACTTTGTAACCTATCCTTTTATACATTTTTTTAAAATGAGATTTTGAAAAAATTATAGTGTCATTATAGAAAAATGCAAGTGGAGCGTCATTTTTGTTACGTAACGTCGTAGAGCGATTAAATGACCATACGATTATACATATATGAACACATGACTTTCAATTGAATATAATTTGGAATAGATATTTATGTTATAAACAATTTGCGACAATAAAGAGCAGATGAAAAAGTATTTCCCGTTGCATTCTTAGCGACAACTGTGAGGGGGCTGATTGAATTTCATTTAACTTAAAAACCCTTCCTACACTGCACACTTAAGAGTTCTGATTCTGTGGTATTTTTATGCAATTAGAGTATACTTCTCCTAGATTTCAACTTAAAGAATTTGAAATCCACAATGCTTTACCCAATATTGTAATGGATTCAAGCATTCTTAACATTTTAACAAGCCAAGATACATTAATTGTATACTTTCTCTACATGTGTTTTTCTTTATGTTATTTAGTAAACAGTATTGATTTCTCTTCATTAATATTCATTATCTTTAAACATTTTTCTTGGGGGCAAATGCAAGGTATCCTATGCTTAAAATAAAATCGGTATGCTCAAAATGTACATCTTCATATAATATAATTTTCTCAATGTCTAAAAAAAATATTTTGTTTAAGTGTATAGAGGGTCATTAAAATAATCTTACTTTGTGACTATATTTAGAAAAAATCACCCCTCCACCCGGTCCTAAGAAAATATCATTTTAAAAAGAAGAAACATTCTAGTTCAATCCCTTGAACCTGTGTTTGAGCCATCCAGTATTGACCAGTAATATATTTAACATGTTTAAGCATGGGGTTTAAAGACAACAAAAGATTTACTTCCATATACGATATATTGTTCCAAAAGTAAATGTTTCTGAAAAACTAATTCTATAACTGGACACGGGGCAATTAAACTTAGATGAGGTCACCTTTGATCTCAGTCTCACTTTTCTACTATTAGTTCCTTTTGTAAAAGTGATACAGAGATCGAAAGTGAAGCTCGTCTAAGTTTTATGGTCCCGGGGCCTGGACACGGGGTATTTTAGATAGTTGAAAATGGGATTTTTTACATAGCAGAGTATGCTTCCTAATTATGCATTTGGATTCAAAAGTGTCAGGATTAATACCTTTCAGAATGTGCATTTAATATCTGAATTCATATTCATAAAACATTGAATATATATACAACCTAACATAATGTCATTAAAAAAACAGAGAGTCAAATTTTTACTTTTAAAGGAGTTTCTTGGGGACCTTTTTTTCTAGCGGGAGGATTTCAAACAAGAAATGCATAAAAATTTGCTTATTTTAATTTTACAAGTGCTCTTAAACAACTCTAAAAATTAAGTTTGCTAACCTGATATGCACAACTTTTTTTTCAGACATCGGACAAACAGTAGAGACATTAACCTGAAGTTTCTAATACAAAAATAAAACATGTAATATATTATCAAAATGCACAACTCACAAAATCTCTTGAAAAAATAAATTCAGTTCTTTCCTTGATTAAAATTTATTTATAACCTCAATATCTTGAGAAAAAGAAATGTGGCGCTTTGTTTTTGTTTTAGATATACAAAACAGAGGATATAACAAAAATATTAATGCAAAAAAAAAATGAAAAATAAATTTAAAAATAATAATAATAATAATAAAAATAAATAAAATGGCATTTCTCATTTGCAGAATTTTAAAAACATACATGTACTTTGTTCATTTTAAATTTTCTAATTAAGTGTAAAATGGTCACAATTCATATTCTAGACTTCAAGGATTATTTTTTTCTGATCGAAACTACTCGTATTTATACTATCCTTGGGTATTTATTTGCATAAAATGTATTGTAATCTTTATAATATTTTTGTATCACAGCAGTAGTTTAGATCAATGTGTCAATCTTATTTAGTGCAAAAATGTCAAATTGAACTGGATTTCGTTAAAGAGGTTCGTTCCTGAGCTTTTGAGCAGATTTTTGTCTTGACCTCTATTTAAAAAAATTCTGCATAATGTTTTAGTTCTAACAATAAATTTGGATTCTACAATGCTAATTAAAACCTCATGATTAAATTCCATACCAAATGCATCAAGTGAGGAACTATATTTTGTGGCGGAAGAAGAAAAATGATAATTTTTTTCTCTTTCGGAGTATTTACAGTATTGTTAAGTTTGGATTCCTATTTTTACATGCAGCCTGTACACAGAGTTGTTTTGTACCGGGAAAAATTTTATGCTGGTCCTAAATTATATATAAAATTAACTGTCATGAATTCTATCATCATATTTGACAAATATAGCAAATTTATTGTGAAAGTCCTGGAAAAAAATAGCCCAATTTAAGCTTAAAATTAACACCATTTTAGTAATATTTAAAAATTTATATACAGACCCCCACTTTTAATTTTTATTTTTGAATATATAGGATAACTTTAACTTTTATACATAAATTCAGAAAAATGTTCAATCTATTGTTTGAATATATAATATAATTATGATGTCATTTTCATTAAGACATTATTTTTTAAAATTATATTCTAGAAGTGTGCGTGTGCGCGTATGTGGACTCCTTTATTTCTTTTTCAATATGTTTTGTTTTCCTTCCTCTAAGAGTGGTTGCACCAACCAAGAATTTGAAAATATGAATTTAGTAATTCTTTGGATTTTGGTAACTGGTTAACTTTGTTCCTTATTTACAGTTTAATTTAAGAAAACCTCGCACGCATATTGTTCCCACCTCGTGCAAGAAACAATGAATCAGGAGTAGACGGCTTTAGATCTTGATTGCTTACGTCCCATTGTTCAAGGATAAAATGATGGAAAATCACGAGCAGACATTTAAAGTTTACTGTTAATATCTATTATTCTTCTATACGATTCCCTGACGTAAAGCGAGCTGTCTTATTTAATAGCTCCAGCTATTTGTCATATTTCGCCTTGCCAATAAAATATCTATTGTTTTTGAAGCCAATTTCAGAGAAAAAGTAGACAATCCTTCGAGTTATGAGTTATCACTTCCAGGCACGCAGTAACCGCTGGTCTGAGTATCCAATTATTTCTTTTTAGTAAATTAAGTCCGAGAAACTATTGAAAACAGTGTGAACAATGACAATGACCTGTACATCTGGGGAGGGGGGGGGGGGGTGATGGCTAGTTCATAACTATGGAGTTGCTCTGTCATATATTATTGTATTTCACACTGTTCAGATTCCATCCCTTCTATAATGCATTTATACAATGCTTTGGATATATTAACAAACAGTGACAAATTAATCATTTTAAGAATAAACCGATTTGTTGACTACTTAAATTTATTCCACTTATATTTTGGCTGTTACTTATTAAATGAAAACTATAGTGCCATATAAAGCTAAGAAAGATTGTTCATGACGTGGTAACTTTATTCTTTAACATATATTGCTTTTATTATATCCTCGATCGTTTGCAGACCTTAATATTAGTTTGAAATACCCAAGCTTATTTCTGAGGAACCAATGTTTCTTGGCGCTTTCGGCGATCCGTGCTGACATGCCACGCATCATGTTTGGTCTCGATAATGATTTCGCACAAATCAATTGCAAATCTTTTCGCCATTATAACACCAAATATCTTAACGGAGAGAAGAAAAAGATAATATCTTCATGCATACATATATATGGCTCTGAGGAAGATTCATCCTCGATGAGTGATCAAGCGGGCAGACAGAGCTCTCTAGAGAACGGAACATTTCATGAAAGATTCAGGTTTTCCGACATAATATTACAAAGCATGAACTTGTGCTCCCCCTTAAACATCTCACCATTTACAATAAAAGCATTAGTGCCCTGTATGAAATATTCATCAACAAATTATATATTGTATGAAGAACAATGATTTATCTTTTCTTGACAATATGATTTGCAACTTTTTCTTTTGTTCTGTTGAAAAGTTTAGAATTCGGAAAAAAAGAATTTGTAAAATGAGAAGAAAAATAAATAAAAGTAAAACTTTATAATTAGAAAACAAAATTGAGATAAAAAGTTTACTTATGCAATTATACTGACAAATGAATTCATTCCGGTTTCAAAAAGAATACTTATTTCCCATGAGACCTCTAGCCCTCTCCGTCACTACCTAATTCACGGAGTAATAAGCAGTATTGATATTTTGTTAATTAGCGTAATGAACAAAACGTAGAAATCCCCATCGTAAAAGATAGCAGAGGTGTAACGTAGTGATCAGTCAACCTGGGCATGCCAAAGACAAACTTTTGAAGGCTCACTAAGCACCTAGTAGTCACACCGTCATCTGGTAATGGCGTACAAAATGAAGACAACGCATTGAATTATTAATGTAAACATTTATAAAGCAAACCGTCGATGTCGACTCTGGTACCTTGAAAGGTGAGGGTAGCCTCCAAATGATGTTATGGATAACAATTGATGTTAATTCTTTCAGAGCTGACGATCAATATTTGGAGGAAAATATAAACAATGGATATTTCGGTTTCATTCGCCTATCGATCTCTGAGTTGGAGCGATCATTTATAAAATAATGTAGGATTGCAGGGATTCGTTAAGAAATATAGACACATTGGATGGGGAATGGATGCAAGAGATTCAATATAATATACCCTAATGGACTGAACGATTTATTGAGTTGATGCAACAGTAGATATAATTATGCTAAATCAAGAAATCCGAGTCCGATGAATTCAGTTTTTCGTGGAATACTACACAATTCAGTGATCAACAGTAGAAAAGAATATTTATATAACACCGAACGCATTGCAAAAAATTCAATATCTGTCGTACGGCTGGGAAGCTTTCAGGATAGTAATATAACACTACAATTAATTTTCCCTCTACTCAGTATCAAAAAACTTATATGGATATCATATACCTAAACAAACGATGGATGTACAATGTATTTCTATAATGGGAATTACAGTAAAGTTTAGCAGTATGGTTTACTGAGGGATGCTATACATTAGGGACGCACACCAATTTGTGAGATGAGTTTAGTCGAAAATCCAGGTATACCCCTTGTTGGGTTAAATGGAAAACTTAAAAAATACAAGACATTAGAGAATGAAATGGTGGATGCACCCCCGGGCAGATTTGAGACTGTGGGTAGCAGATTGGCAAGGAGAAAGGAACTCTTTGTAAAGAGAAAGCGATCTAGTGATGTGGCGCTAATTTTCGCTCTAGTGGGTATTCTTCTAATGGTGGTTCAGACGGAGCTTACGGCAGCCAAAGTGTACCCCCGATCCTCCCTTCCATCGCACTTAATGAAAATGGCTATCACGGCTTCCACGGTGGCATTACTCATATTCCTAGGTATATATCATCGTCTAGATGTACAATTATTTATTGTTAATAACAGTGTTGATGATTGGAGGATTGCGATGACTGCCAGAAGGATAACACAGATGACAGTAGAATTCATTGTGTGTTCGATTCACCCAATCCCTGGGGACTTCTACACCACTTGGCCAGCTACTGTAGCAGAGGGGGAACGTCACAGAAGTCTTCGAGTTCCCCTAGACACTATACTCGCACTGCCAATGTTTCTACGGCTTTTCCTAGTATGTCGTTTTATAATGTTGCATAGCAAATTGTACGAGGACGCCTCGTCACAAAGTCTTGGGGCTCTGAATCGAATACACTTCAATTTCAGATTCATTTTTAAGTCTTTAATGACAATGCACCCTGATTATGTGTTGACCATCATCATGATTGTGTCGTTTTTGATAGCGAGCTGGGCACTACGAATGTGTGAAATGAGCGACAACACGGATGAATCTGTTCATTCGAATTTCCTTAACACGATGTGGTTAGTAGCTATTACATTTCTCTCCGTGGGATACGGGGATATTAAGCCAAGCACCTACTGCGGCAGGGGGATCACCGTTATTACAGGTATGATGGGAGCTGGCTGTACAGCCCTCGTTGTTGCGGTATTAGCCAGAAAATTAGAGCTCAGCCGGAGTGAGAAATACGTTCATGACTTCGTCCTTGACGTTGACCTTGACAAGAGACTAAAACACGAAGCTGCAAATGTCATGAAATCAGGGTGGTTTATTTACAAATTTCGTAAAGTGAAAGTAAACACCTCTAAAGCTTTGAAGTACCAGACAAAGCTGCTGGAAGCTATTTATAACATTCGCCAAATTAAAGCTGCACAACGACGTTTATTGGACGCCTCCGTCACTCTGACCGAGATGAATAAATCTCAAAACGAGACAAGTAGGTCAGTGGAGCTTATTCGATGTAAGCAACTAACTTTGGAGGAAAAAGTGGATAACATTGAGTCCAAAATCATGTCTCTTCACGACAAGTTAAACTCCATACACAAAGCGTTGAGGGAATAGGTACTGATTCTAGAATTTCTTTACTAAAAGAACTAAACTTTCCTTCTTAAAACACACTAAAGTTAGAATATTGCACCTGTCTTATATATATGTACTTTCTTATTCACTCATATTAGAAATATCAATTAGATTTATTAATTTGAAGAAAATGTTACATGTATATGCTACAGAATTCATATACTTATGACAACCTAGGTATTTTAGATTTCTGCATAGCTTGGAATGAAGTGATTAAAACTAGTCTTTTATAATGCTGAACTTAGATATACTATGGCTACTTTAAAATCTTAAAATAAATACTTTTATTGTTTATTCGTTACCTGTTACTTTCACTCATAAAACAACTCTTTACTGTTGATTTACCATTTTTTATTGAAAAAAGTTTGCTACACTAACATCCGGGTACTCCGGTTAATGTATAACCTTTCACTGACTACGTCAGCCAGGAACATACTGTATATGATGTATTTTTTTTTATCCATGCCACAATCCTATAATAATTTTCCATTTTCTTCCTCTTTATCTTTATAATCTATTTCGACGGTTTCATATAATGGATGCTCCTCACTAAAAGAAGAAGTGAAAGACGGAGTATAAGTATTTTCATTAAGAAAAAAATTAAAATATTCCTGAAATAAATAAATCAAACTAAATATGCTGAGTCTTCTGAACCTTTTTTTTGTTAAATCGAAGACTAACGACTATATCGTCGTTTATTATTATTACGCACTGTCAACCATTTTATTTTATTTTTAATTTGACAACTTCGCTTAGCTAATTGTTCTTGACTACCATTACACATCATAGGTATAAGTTCTTGCATAATTAATCTAATGTTGTTTTTTTTTCACAAAATACTTTATACGTTTTCTCCTGTTTATTATTCACATAATTCTAAAACAATATTAACATTTATGAAAAATGCGTATCCGTTATTTTATTCGCTTCTCTATTCACACAAACCCCAAGTTAAGCTTACACACATAGGATTTAATAGAAAAATTTAATGGAAGAATTTTTGTTCCCATTTTCATAAAAGAGAAAATCCTTACATTGTGTGACAGATTACTTCTACGAATAAAATGTAAATCTAATTCAACACACATACATTTTTTAATTGTTTTTAAACAAATCTCTCTAAATTTCAAGTACTGAGTACAAAGCAGGTAATAACATTTGGTTAAAAGCAAGAGCTGTTTAAAGTAATATACTTTTTTACCAAAACTCATCATTTTTTTTCGTGATTTATTTAAAACAAAATAATTATAATAGAACATGTGGTAAATATTCATAGTTTAATATCTTTTTAACAAACAACAGTTCCTGTTTTATTGTGATGTGCAGTTTCACGAATTAGTAAGCTTGTACTTTGTATACTCTGTAGATTGCTAATATTGCAAATAATTTATGCTTTTGAAAGCAGAAAGCCTATGATGGATATTATCAAAGGATTGTAAAACTTGTGGAATTTTATTAAAAGACTGAGTATTCCACCGTCTACTTTTGTTTGTGGAACAAAATATTGAAAAAAAGGGAAAGGATTTCAATAAATGGAAAAAGCCGATAGGCTTAGGAAACAAACTTCACTTAAAAATTAGCAGATATGAAGTCCTTCTATTTGTAAATGTTGATTTCCTAGGCCTTTCTACTGTTCTCCTTAACAGACTTGCTCTTTTTCAATATTTTGTACCACATTATACAAAGTACATGTAGATAGTGATATACTCGTTCAGAAATATCACCAGGTTTTACAATCCTTTTATTATACTTGTATCTTAATGAGGCTTTCTGTACTGAAAACACTCATTTTGATCAACAAAAGACAACAGGAAGTAAGAAAATAATGTGAGATTATCAGATTATCCATAAAAACTGCATGTACATGTATCATTAGAAAATAGGCGATATTGTCGTTTGAAATAGTAACATTATAGATTAGGGATATGTTATTTTAAAATATAATATTTTTAAAAAATGTCAATTATTTCTGGGAACACTTTATTTATTTAAAAAAGTGTAGTTATAGTTTTGTAATTGGTACTTACGATCCGAAAATTTTGGCGTCCTCAATAGTTTCAGGTAATTTTCTATGGAGGGTCTCTGGTAAAACCAGAGCTAGACAGCCCGCCAGTATACTGACAGCACCAAATACCACAAGGGGGAAGGCTTTACCAAAATCGCCGCCGATTTCTTCACCCTGTAGTGTAAATTATTATATATCTAATTAGTCAGAATATTGTACATACAATATTAAAATGTATAAACTTTCTATTGAACACATATGATATAAATTAAATCACTTCCTTTTTTTCTTAATTCTTTTGATTTATATATATATATGCCATAGTTTTTATACTACAAAAGTGTTAAAAGGAAATATTCAACATAAAATCACAATTCCAAATAATCGGTTAAAAAATTCTACAAGGAAAAAAATTACAAAGATTAATTTCGAATAGATCTACAAATAATGATAATAATTAAGAATACTTTTCTTCCTTGAGGCCTTCAACTGCAAATAAAATACTCTAGAACACACAGGAAGGAAAAAAAAAAAAATCTTCCTTCTTTTCTACCAAGAAATCTGAAATAAATTTATATTGATTAATTTTTTTCCAACTTACCTTACTTATTTTAAGCTTGTTTACACGTATATTGAAGTTGCAGGTATACAATTTTTGGTCAGCTGTAAGAGTTATTTAACAGTGTTTATTTATTAAAAATCGTTTTGTAAAATTTGATTTATTTCTAACTATGTCTGTTTATTGACGTCACAAATTGACCTAACATGGCGGACTTTTAGTTTACATTATTTTTGGAAAAGGGTTCATTCAGCTGTCATATTGTAAATATTGAATTTACTGAGTGGGTGTTAATATCAAATATACATAGATCATATAATTCTGTACTTAAAGCCTTACATTAAATAGGAGAAAATTTACAATACGACAAACCCGTTCGAATTTTATTTATCATTTAACTCGATAAACATCTATCTTAGATCACCGCCCAGTCAGGTCAACTTGCAGCGACAAGAGTTAAAAAAAAATCATACATTTTAAGTGAAGATAAATTTGTATATCAATAAGGTATTATATTTTCGGGCAGATATAATCAAGGTGCTCAAGGGGGCTAACTAAAACTGCACGGATTATTCTCCCCTGTTTTTTCTTTTCTTTTTTTTTTTTGCCTCGAGTAGACGAATGTAAATCAGGACAAATCCAACAAAGACTTGTTTATCTCTTTGAAGGCAACTCTTTCTTGACGAATTTAAAAAAAAATGGGGAAAATTGTTTGGTAGTAAGAGGAAAACATCCCTGTATATTATATCTTTATACTTAAGTTGCTATAGACTGAAACATCAGCTCAATACACATAAATGTTGTAAACGGAGGGGCAGCAACCATTGTAATTTTTATCAAGATTTTAGTTTTCTTGACTTATCATCGTATAATAACTACACAAATGTAACGTTTTGAATGCATTTTAAAAATAATTTAAAAAATTAAACTGTTGCACAGTATTGAAGGACTAGAGTTATGTCCTTTCAAAGTTGTTTAACTTTGTCTCAGCTGTGTGGAAGTATATAGTCCTACTGTATTTGTACTAGCACAAATATATATAAAGGATTTTTTATTGCTAAGATTCTGTTTAGCACGAGATAACTAAAATTTTAAAGATTTGTTAGATGTGCAAGTATTTTTTTTTAGGTCATCTGAGTCACTCAGGTGACCTATTGCTATCCGTTCTTGTCCGTCGTCGTGCGTCGTCCGTCGTGCGTTAACTTTTGAACATTTTCAACTTCTTCTCTAGAACCGCTCAACCAATTTTGGCATATAGCTTCTTTGGGTGAAGGGGAACACAAATTGTCATGGTCCCTGCCCCCCTGGGGCCTCAGGGATGGGGCTAAAACCACCAAAATTGATGCAATCTTTAAATATCTTCTTCTTTACTCCTGCATGGACATCAAGGAGTCAAACTGTTGGCATGATTGTAATAAGCATTGGGCCCTCTACCTAAATTGTGAAATTCATGGCCCCAGGGTCAGGGGTTCTGGTGCTAGGGCGGGGCTCTATTGATTATATAGTGAAAATGCATTAATTCTTTGAAAATCTTCTCTGCTCCTGGATATTATTTAAACAAACAAAGTGCATGGTTATGACAAGCAATGATGCCTTTTCCAAAATTGTGAAATTCATGGCCCATGGGTCAGGGGTTCTGATGTTAAAGGGGGGGGGGGCTCTATTGATTACATGTATACAGTAAAAGTGCATTAATTCTTTAAAAATCTTCTTCTCTGCTCCTGGATATTATTTAAACAAACTAAGTGCATGGTTATGATAAGCAATGCTGCCTTTTCCAAAATTGTGAAATTCATGGCCCCTGGGTCAGGGGTTCTGGTGTTAGGGAGGGGCTCTATTGATTATATAGTGAAAATGCATTAATTCTTTGCAAATATTCTTCTCTGCTCCTGGATATTATTTAAACAAACTAAGTGCATGGTTAACAAGGATTCCTTTTTCAAAATTGTGAAATTTATGGCCCAAGGGTTGGGGAATTTGGTGGGGCTCTATTGATTATATAGTGAAAAAGCATTAATTCTTTAAAAATCTTCTTTTCTGCTCCTGGTTATAAAGTAAACTAAGTGTGTAGTTATGATGAACAAGAGTGCTTCTTCATGAATCATGACCTCTACGTCAGATGTTCTGGTGTAAGGATGGGACTCTATTGATAATATAGTGAAAATGCATTAATTCTGTTAAATAATCCTCTCTGCTCCTTAGTGTTGAGCAGATAAATAAAGTGCATAGTTATGATGAACAATTGTGCTTCTTACAAAATTTTAAAACTTGTGGTCCTCAGGTTTTGGTGTTTCTCAAGGGGGGGGGGGGTCTATATTTATTAATAAAATGATAATCTGTTAATTCTTTGAAAATCTTCAACTAAGTGCATAGTTATGATGATGTGGGTACCTCTACCAAATTTATGAATTTCAAGACCCTGGGACATGGGTTTTAGTGTTAGGGTAGGGATGTGTTGAATCTGTAGTGAAAATCCATTATTTCTTTGAAAAATCTTCTCTGCTTCCTGGCATACCGAAGGCAAATAGAATTAGAGTTTTAATAAGCAAGGATATTTTTACCAGATTTTTAAACATCAGGACCATTTGGTCAAGTTTTCTGGTCCTAGTCAGGGTTCTATTAATTTGTATTCAACTGAGAAAAGTTATTCCCTTGGCCATTTACTTTTGATAATTAATCACCGTAAATAATGTATTTGAAAGTTAATAGAATAAGAGAATTATGCAAAAAAAAATTATTGAATAATACAAAAAGTACTTTCATAGTTTTAATGATCAGATAGACAAATAATAAATAGATAAAAATGAGACAAAAATAACTTATTAAATGTTCTTCAAAGACCAAGAGAGGCCAATGTGAGAGGTCACAATGTGGGGTTAAAAGTAGTACAGAGGAACTATTAGTTTGTTAATAGTCTGCATAGTGATAGTGCTAAATGGGAGATAAATTAGAATTTAATGTATGAGTTGTTACTGAATACTAGACTAATTATTTCATTGATTCTGATCATCCTATTTCTCTTGCTTTTGGGCAACAAATCTTCATCTGTCAGTTTATTTTATACTCTATGGATCTTCTAAATTGTTGTATTATACTCAGGTGACCGTAAAGGCCCTTGGGCCTCTTGTTTTGTTTTTCAAACAGCTCATTTGTTAAATTTGAGAAACATGCCAAAGTGATTTTCATATATAGACCTAGCACAAAGACGTCTACTAACGTTTTCCAAACTTATATACATACGCACTGTAGTGGTTGTGTCTTCGATCGAATTGATGACTGAGAGAATTGAATTTGAATAAAGTCTGGCATGTGATAAATTATATTCAAATGTCTATCATCGTCCCAGGGACTAAAGTGCATAGGTTACTACAGGGACAAGAGATCATTGATAGATATGTACTTTCTGTAATGCAAGGAGCTGGGGATTTTCATTAATATCTGATAGAAGATAATAAAATTTGGTCATGCTTCGAAGGTCACGCGGTTAAAAATTGGCCATTTTTGCGTTTCTTTCTTTCTTTCCTTTTCTCTTTTTTTGCCTTAGTTCCTAACAGAAAATATTCCACTTTTTCACCATTTCAAATTTACTTAATTATACCACAAAACTGAATAGTTGCAGATTATATTTATAATACAGCATACTTCTTACAAGAAAATGGAAATAAGGCATCATGCACAGCAAGTGGACCGAAAACATTTCCACATTGTAAGTTTTGGATACGCTGTTTCTAAATAAGTATAGAACATATTTTTGAAAATTAAGTAAAGAACTGATTCATTTGAAAAACTATAAAAATATATATTCTATTTGTTTCAAAATATTTAAAGTTTAACGCTGAAATGAATTCTAACTACATGCGTATGCTTAATTAGGGAATTTTATATTTATATATTTAAAACAAATCGGCATTGAAGTTCTGTTTACAATTACGCCATATATGCATGCTCTGAATATTAGATTCCTGACTTTTGAAAATATTTTCATATACGTGCAGGTTATTGTAACTTTGTATAGGCAGAATACTGCATTTGATTTCATAAATAGTATACGCTCTGATATACAAACAACAATCTCGTTCGTAATACAAAAAGAATATGGATATAGCATTAAATGAAAACAGTACATACAGTATTTTCGGTTTCAATCATGATATTAAATTTACCGATTTTGCCACGTAGGGGGCCAGCATCCCCCCGATCCTAGCTACACTGGAGCTAGCACCTAAGCCCCCATTCCGGACCACAGTGGGGAACAGCTCCTCTGAAAAGGTGTAGATGACCCCAAACGCCGCAGCACTCCCCATCTTCCCTATGACGGCAAGCGTTATAGTAGCAGGCTCCCATTCTACATATAAATATAAACAAGACATTTTAGAGGCAAGTCAATAAATGTAGCCAAAGAAAACATCCTGACTTCATTTTGCACTTTTTTTGGACTTTTTATTTAAAAAGATTATACACACTTTTTGCTTACCTGCACCGCCATATAAAACAGTAAATATTGTCAACAGGCAAGCAATGCCGCCTACAAACATACAGGCGCAATGAGTTTTCTTCCGCCCAAATCTCTCCAGGAAGTAAATAGTAGAGCTGTTCGCCGGATATTCAACGACAGCCATGATAAAAAAATTGAGAAAGAAGTTTCCTCCGAGGTAACGAGCGTGCATAGTGACTCCGTAATACATCATACTCACAATCATCCTATTACAAAATAAAGAACAAGACTTACTGAAGTAATTGATCACTGTCATTGCGAATCGTAAGAGACATCTTTACACCTTGTGATTATGAATAAAGAAAATTGTTGGTTTAGTCTTAATATTCTTAGAAAAATGTTAATCGTGAACATGGCCAGTTGATACAGATACATATATACACATTGTGAAAATGACAGATATAAAGTATCACAAAGTCAATTTTAAAAGATTGATTGATTGCATGTATGTTGTTTACTTTTCGTTCAAGAATAGAAAACAAATGTTTACTTATTTGTTGAGCATGTAGATCTTATCTCTTTTTTTTTTTAAAATTTGACGCACCAATTGAAAAAAATGATGAGCGTTCGAACACACAAAACCCGATGTTGAAACAGATGCCAGAGTTGTGCTCCTTTCGGTAACTCCAGGGTCTTCTCGTCAAATATAGTGTCCTCTCCCTCTATAGGCTTCTTGTTAACTTTTCCTATGTTTTGTACGATGTCTGAGGCCTCTTTGTATTTACCCTGAGTGACCAACCAACGTGCAGACTCGGGAATTATCCTGAAATATTATTCTTAAATTAATGTAAAGAAGCAATATGCACAGTCGTACATGTGAATGAAACCCACAAGAGATATTGGATTTTACAAATAATGTTTAACTTGTGCATACATTTGCTTTGAATATTTAAGATTGTAAACTGTCATCTGTAAAATGCAGACCAAATTAAAAATGCATTGGAACTTACCACCAATAGAACATGTATATAATGCACGTGCATGCTGTACCGATCTGTACGTATTGATGATTTCTAAAGAAGTAACCAAAGCCTGATAGGACGACAATTCCAGTAGCAAAAAACATGTGGATAGGTACTCCAACAAATACTCGCTTGGATGGGCCGACAAATTCAATGCCTGAATGAAAATCAAGTAAAATTCAGGTATCTGATCTAGTAAGAAATTTAAATTTGGCAAAATGTTTCATCAATCATTTGTTTCAAGAGGTTAAACCTCTGTTTCCCAAATTTCATTGTTTTTTTTTTCAGTCATAAAGTCAATTTTCTTAAAAATTTCTAAAAGTGAAGATAAAATCCAAGCAAATTGTTTTATCCCAAGGGACAACATTAATTTGTAACGAATTCATATATCAATTCTTAAGTCACATATGTTTCTCTCTAAGAAATGACTCATTTCGACTTGGATCACGAGTAAGGAAGACTTAAATTCAGTCTAAACTGACAACGACTTCTCGTATCAGGGATATATTTTTTCAATCATTAGCTGCTGGTATCAGAGACATGACATATAAGGAGATGACAAACAGCAGTCAAGCTCAAAAGTCCATTAAAACAATACCAGGGATATCCAAGTCACTTATTGTTTGTACAATACCGATGATCGATATTGTAGACATCAACTGGTAATATCTTGGATATTTAATTTTGGACTTAAAAGGTTCAGGGATAGATATGTCACCGACTACTGACTACTTATTTTAGGAATGACTCTAATTCTTGGCCAAATTATTCGAGTATAACCTGGTTTGGGTCAGTTTACGCTTCATAATCCGCGAAGCGGATTATAAAATAGCATAAACTGACCCAAACCAGGTTTTACTCGAATAATTTGGCCAAGAATTAGAGTCATTCCTTATAATGTAATTTTAAAATCAGTAAATAACAATGGATGTAAAATTTCGTTGCTTTTTATTAGTTCAAATTTGCCGCTCAATAATACAACCGTAGTAACGGAAGTAACGGAAGTGATGGGAAGAGAGGGGAGGTAAAAACTGATACATAGGCCTAGCAGCCTTGTTGTTTGTTTACATGTGGTAAGATCGAATCATTGTTTGAAGTTAAAGTTACATTTATTAAATCTGGAATTTTCTATGAATCCCGAGGACTGGAAATGAGAGGATTATATGGATACAGATGATTCAGCTGGTTGTCAGGGGGGGGGGGGGGGTGTCCCCATACCAAACCAGGTTATACAGAAATAATTTGTGTTCCTTTTTGGATATTAACCAATCAGAGGCTAGAATAGAAACAAAATTAAATTATATCAGATATATTATCAGTGACATGTTTAACGCCAGGAATATGTTAGTCAGCAACTGCTTGTGTCTGGGATATCGAAGTCATTGATTACTGATAAGAGGGCGGATCCGAAAGTGATAACACTAATATAGTAAAATCTTAAATGATTGGAAGTTTTCCACAAAAATGTTTATACCTTTCTTTTAGCTGTTTCCCTAAAAATTCCATTCATATATACATACATGTGCGAGGGTTGTCCCAAAAAGTCGTAGACAATGTTTTAGATATTTGGGGTTTTCCAAAGCAAAGCAAGGACTTTGCCATTCCTTATTTAACATTGGGGATGATGTACATCTTTAATCCGCAACTCCTCATGTATCATTTATTACAATTTAATGAGACTTTCAATAATCTTTATAACATAGTGCCATTGTGCACCTCTTATTTTACGTTTTGATAGGATAGATGTTTAGGGTTTTCCCATAGGAAAACATGGACTTTGCAATTATACTCGATAAAGTATCTAATGTAGTGAGAAATTTAATGGCAACATTTTTAAACAATGCACCTTCTTTTAAATCAATGGAACTTTCATAGACTGCCAAGAAATGCACTTTGCCACTGTACTCATACGGGAGCAGGGAGAGCTATTCATTTTGTGAGCTCATTGCTCACAGAACGTGTAGTGTAATCTACATTGTCTCTTGCTTTGCTTCATTTTAACTGTTCCAGAGATCATTTCCATGTTCAATCCGCTGTGCGGATAAGAGTAAGCTATGTTTAAGCTTTGGCTAACGTATTTCATACCAATTGTTAGATCATTGTTTCATACTAAATTTGAATACGGATTATCAATACATAGGCTTCACAGGTCGACAAGGGATGCTTACTCCTCCCAGGCAATTGATCCCATCTCTGAAATTTCCAGGGGTCTGTGTTCTATGACCAGCTGCTTACAAAGGTGTATTACTTGCAGTTTTTTTCCCGTTTTTTCATCTTTTCATTGTGTTTATTTCAATATTTAAAAATTAAATTGAAAAAGTGTTACATGTGTTTTATATCTAAAGGAATTTTTTTTAAAAATGATAGAAGTATTTCTATATAAATTTTTTTTGATGACTTCCCATTATTTAAGATTTTATAGCATAGTTACATTACTTTAAGATCACAAAAATTCAATTCGCTGAATACGAGTTTCAGGTATTTCAAATTCACTGACCGCTAGTATCAGAGTTTTCCAAGTCTCTGATTTCTATTGTTAGTCATTTATGTACTAGTATTGTGACTGCTAGAGTCAAGGAAATTCAAGTTACTCACATAGTTAAGATTGAAAGTACTAGTACCATACGTAAGTCATCCATTAATTTACATTAATTTACCGGTATGCCTCTTATACGGAAGCCCATTAAGGACGCATCAAGAACTTTTTAATTTGATAGAACGAACTGTCGAATTTGTAAAAACGAATTTAATTCGTTAAAACATTTTTTGTTTTGAATTTATGTTATAATATAATCTGTTACGAGGGTTGTTCGGAAAGTTCGTGGATTATGCCAATCTTCGTTATACTATTTTCAAGAAATTTAAAATGAGCACATTTTCATATGTAAAAATATGTATTTTGTTTAAATGTGAAGTTTCATTCCACGTGATTTAATAGAATTCATGTTATTTAATTTTAAATTCAACACGCTTTGTAAACAGGGGGCAAACTCAACAACACTGCAACGTCAAAAACATACCGACACGAGGTTCCCAAAAATACTATCCCTATACATTTCACACAGTATTGCCCAATACCAGTGCACTCATTAAAAACGTTTCTCTATCACTTGAAATCTATTTTGCTAACAATTGTTCCAGTAGCATCATTTTGTTTGTCAATGTTATATTTTTTTTCACTGCATAAGTATGCTTTCACAAGATCAGCATCTGTGAAACGCCAAACTCTTAAGCATGACGTTACTACCTTTTCAATGTTTTTTTGATACGATTTTTACAGATTATCCGTTTTCTCGCATATCACTATCGTCTAGGCAGAATAGTCTATCATTCAAATACCGCTTATAACATGTACACACACATGCATGGCTCGCTTTTGACACATTTCCTACTTCCTCCGGCATTTTCAGAGTTTTTTTCTGGAGTTTTCCAGAGTACAACATAAAATTGTGTGGTTAACTGCTGCTCCGTGACGTTCTATGACGTCATCTTTTTTGCCTTTTTCAATGAGGACTACCTATCTTCTAAAACTTATTTCTTTTCAACGAAGCAAAATATTAAGTCATAAATTGAAATCAGAAACGATGAAATTTAATTTGTTATAACAGTTTCTTTAAATTCGTTATAACACATTTAAACTGTTATAACAAATTTGTTGAATTCGTTAAAACGAATTCAAAAATTTGTTATAACGAATTAAATTCGTTAAAACAAATTCTCTTATTTGTTATAACGATTTATATTTGTTAAAACGAATTCGCCAAATCGTTATATCGAATTCATACATATTTTTCTGTAGGCCCTGATTGTTGAATTTGATTTAACGAATTTTATTCGTTATAACAAATTTTTGAATAAGTTATAACGAATTAAATTTGTTATAACAAATTTTAGAAATTGTTTAAACGAATTTAATTCGTTATAACAATTTTTTGAATTCGTTATAACAAATTCAACAAATTTGTTATAACAGACTTGATTCGTTATAACGAATTCAAAGAAATTGTTATAACAAATTAAATTCGTTATTACAAATTCTACAATTTATAACGTATTAAATTTGTTTAAACAAATACGACATAGTTCGTTACATCGGATTCAAGAATATTTTTGATTGGCCTTAAAAATGGGTTTCTGTACTCTAACAACCAGTGGGATAATAAAGTCACTCACTTAATATACAGGCTATGATGAAGGCGGCGTGCATGGCTGCTCCACTCATGAACTCTAGAATTGCTAGACTGATGACATCCGGCGCAAAGGAGGCACCAAACGACACCCCGGTCAATATTACGGCACACAGAGTGAACGTAGTACGGCGCCCTATACTGTATAAACAGAATTGTAAAGAAAATGATGGTTCAAACTTTGAAAAATGATGATGTTTGAAGAAATTAAGACTCAGAAGTGTTTTAAATGCATTACACTATTTCATGCTTTTCTTTAAACTTTATGCGTCTGACATTTTACTTTAGTGTTTGACATACCTGTAACTGCTCACATGTGTAACTAATATATGGGATAACGATATTATAACATTCAAATAACGTCCTGTTATTACCATATTATTTCCCTTTGACAAGTATTGGTCACTCATATTAAAACACGTCAAAGAACTATACTTACTTCATAAACTTTTGTTAGCCATATATATAATTAAAATGTTCATCATAAGAAAGTAAAATAAAAGGTAGCAAACACGGTAGAAATGAAGAAAGTCACTCACACGTCGGCCAACATACCAAACCCCAGATCCCCACACAGCACACCAAAAAAGTACACAGCCTGTATCATGGAAGTCTTCCATTTGTCGCCACACACCAAGTTATGCTGTAGGAACGAGTAGTTCAAAAAACCTCATCATTAATTATTTTTGTGTTCAATCGTTTCATCTAAATTGTAGGAATATTGCTATTTTCATTTTTTTATGATACATATGGAGAGTATTAACTTTGATTCATTATGTCTTCTACTGAAGACATTTTCTTCAACCGTTACTAATTTTTCTACAAGACCAATTCTTCAAGGTTGCTTACCTTTGATGTAAAGGTTACGTAAAAAACACTGCTGTCGTACACCCATTCATTGCACTTTTTGACCTCTGAAGTTCCACTATGGTTTCCAGATGTGCGTATGTCAATCACGTGACATCGGTCATATTCAAAGAGAGGCAAATTTGACGGAGGAATGGTAATGTTAATTAAATGAGCATGCTCTGGGCTTTGAATTTCCCAAGTATCATTTTCTAATCCAGGTATTTTACACCTACAGAAAAATGACAAACATTTAAGCTTCGCATAAAATGTGTTCCTTACCATTTTGAGAGAAGACCTGCCTGGTGTTGCTGTTATGGCTTTTGATTTTTATTTATTTATTTTTTTTTTTTTTGAGCATATGGACTTTGGATAAAATACTTTGAATATAGTTGAAAAGCTTACTTTTTTACTTCCATTGATTCTAGAAGAATATTTTAAAAGTAACGGGTTTGAACTACGAAATATGATAATTACAAGATTTGAAATGCACACATTTACATAACGTGTTTACGAGGATTGTCCCAGTAAAAGCGAACATTTTGTCATTATTCGCCCGTTATGCAGATTATCCCACGTTTCCAACTATTGTTGATGCCCTGGCATATCCAACAAACTAGACAGTGATTCCTTATAAATAATTGCCAAAATGAATTATCACGTATTCATTCTCCACATCACAGATTTATTTTCGTATAATCTGCATAAACAAACATCACTGACAACTTATCTAGTTTTCAAGTTAAAAAAAATGTCGGTGCACCCCTTAAATACGGTGTCCGGATGGACCTGAAATAAAAACCTCATAATTTTAAGCTCAAATAAAAAAAAATTGCCCAATAATGTGCAAAAATGAAGAAGTTTGGTCGGGAGTTTCTGGAATATCTGAATAGTTCACGTTTTTTCTAGGACAACCCTGGCTAGTATTCACGGAATACTAATATTAGGTAGATAAAAATAATTTTTGGGAACATACCTATGGTCTGGAGTATAGAGATAAAAAATGTGCCCCATCATAAACAAGGCATTGCTGATGGCCACGATACAGAGTATAAGGTAGAGACGCTTCTGGTACAATCCAAATTCTCCCACCAACTTCAAAGCGTCGTCAAAGCGCATTGTCGGGCCTTGTCAGAGCTCTGTCCTGAAATGATAGCGTAAAACACAGACTGCACTCGCTTTCAGTAAAAGCATACTGTCTGCGACAAAGAAAGAGGGGAGCAATTTGTCTCACTTTTGGGACAGGGTTTGTTTGATATTGTTCGAACATTCTAAAATGCATGTAGACACTGTTATATAAACTATACTCATAACTAAGGCGTGGATTGATATTATTATTATTATTTTAATATATATAAATGATGGCTTAAGGGACCAGGCAAAATTTATCACAATGATGGGACCGGTACAAAACAAAATTCTCATTAAAAAAAATTGCATGTCCCATGGCATTCGTATTTTTAAAAATATATTTGTCCCATGCCTTTAAACTTGTAAAAATGTTACTGTCCCATGGTTATATCTTGATGTTCATGAGATTATTGAAACAAAAATAACAAAAAGTGCATTGTTACAATTAGTTACTGAAGGAGTCTTTCAGATTACAGATATTTCAAACATTGATGAAAGTTTTATTGATTGATTAAATGATGAATTTTCTCAATTGATTAAACTTGAGACACCATTCTTGTGTAAAGTACATGATTGATTCTGATGATGCTCTAGAATTTGTTGTACTATATTTTGAACGCATGAGATTTACTGAAATAATTTGTTTGTTCATTACATTCATATTTCTTATTAACATTGTTACTTTGTTAATTTTTCCGTTACATTGAAGATTTGTGTTGCAATTTGTATTCTCGTTTGACTTTAAAAGATATTACGTTTTTTCTTTCTTTTTTGAAAAAAAAAAAAAAATGAAATATTTTTAAATATAATGTGTCTCTTGAGTTAAGTACTGTAACTCGTTTAAAAAAAGTTTGTGTCCCATGGGTACTTAATGCTAAAAAAAAGTTTTTGTTAGTGAAGGTAGCAAAGAATTAAAATTCCTTAGAAATAATACTGAAAATAAATTCTCAAGGAGAAATTACACAAGAAGACAAAAATTGTCATCCTACCTGGTGAATCAAACTCCTACTGGTCCAAGGAAGCCTATTCTAAAGTTCTGAAAATATATAGCAAACCAATATTATCAAATTGTGTAAATTGGTTTTCAGTGTGTCCCTGCATTTTATAACTCAAAGGTTAATCATCCTTCCTAGTTTTTTTTTTTCAACAAGAAAAAGACACTACTTTTGTTTAAAGGTCAAATTGAAATATTTACATCCTCTGAATATTATCTCCTTTATTTCTTTAAAAACCCATGGGCGTTTATCAGTCAGTATACGCAGTAAGCATACCACCTGCATAAGTAGAGTGGTGGCTCTTCCATCAATGAAACGTACAATGACGTACATATCACTAAATCAATATTTAACGTACTTTATACTACTTTAAATAATCATTTATAAAGATATAAATATAAACAATAAAATGTCTTTCTTTCTTTGTTAGTATGGGAATTAACGTTGCTGCTTTTGCAGAAAAAATTACATAACCTGCTTGCGCGAATTATGTATTTCTCTGCAACAGCTGCCTCATTAATTCCCATACTAGCAGCCAGTTTATTGTTTAATTAAATGTATATTTCATTAAATGTATTTTAAATTGGTTTGGTTATGTTGTTTCAATTTCAAATCTCTATTTTGATACGTATATATCAGTGATAGAACTTAATAAAGAAGATTAGTTGGTTTATCTTTTATGCCCATTATTGGGAAGCGTGATAACTCTAATCTAGTTTTTCATCAAAGTTTTAAACAGCGTCAGTATCAATGTGGGTAGCGACCTGTCGGCGCCATATTGGTTTTGTAAAGTTTGGAAAAAAGTTTGTTTGTCAAATAACCCTCCCACCTCTCCAATTTTTTTCTGTTTACTAAATAATTCTTAGATTTTGTGTTAGGGAGGATATGTTTCTTCATTTTTAGATGTGATATGTTTCTTCATTTTTAGATGTGTGACTAGAACTTGTTATTGTGAAATAAAACGTATTGTACATAGGTCAGTTGTCTTGTAAGGCATATATTTTTACCTTTCCCCACCTCTGATGAAAATATTTTTACAAATGGGTGAATCAAAAAATAATGACTACCAAATTAATTTTTCTGCAAAAATTCAACTACCCATAACACATTTTTCACTTATATCATCTCATTGTATATGCATACTAGTTAAAATTCCTGAAGTTGCAATAGAATAGACGACTGGAAAAAAAAAGTTTCAGAATTTTTATTAGTATAACTTTAATCAAAAAAAAGAAAATTTCACTACATCCTAAAAGACTTTCTAAAATACAAAATTAAAAGAAATTATAGCTTTTTGTGATTCAAAATGGTATCAGGGATATAAATGATTTGATCTAAACCTTCATTGAGTTTCCTCTCTTGTATATGTGAAAAAAAAACTGGGTTTTTTATTGTAATTTTACATTATTTTTTCAATTCTGGTTTGAAATGTTTTAATATGAAAGAAATATGAAACAATAAAATTTACACCAAGTCACTTTTTGTCCATTTTTAATTCAATTCTTTAAATATAAGCCAAAAAAGAATTATGATATACAAGTTTTCTTACAAAAAATACTAGATTTTGAAATGACCCTATTTTACATTATTGTGTTGCACTCCTGACATCTGATATGTATTTTATTTAACATTGTTTTAAACACTATAACACACAATAGCCCATTCTTAATTTGTAAATCAGTTTGTCGTTTTGATATTTGTTATCATTTTGGGCAAGTTTTTCATATTTTCAAAACTTCGAAACGTGATTATTAGCCATGTGTAATATGTATACAATGTATTTACAAATACGTGTTAAGTGATGAAAACTTTTCTCTACATTGACTGTAAAATGTCTGTTATTAGTTGATAGACAAAATGTTTTGAACATCAAATAGTATCAAACATTTTTTTAAAATTTATTTTTCAGTAAAGATAGATGAAGATCATTAATAATTATAAAACAGTTTTGTTGCACATCTGACTGCAGTAAAATTAAAAATTAAAACCAGAGAACACAAATAGCAATAGTTATAGTCCAATACTTCAGAATTAAAACACATGGACGTATTTACACTTGGCTATATATCTTGAATTATTCCCTATTTATATCAAAAACTAGCTAAAATATATATTTAGAAGATAAAATCTAGTTTATAGCATATTTTTCTTCACAAGACAAACACTATAAAGCAACTGAGGTCAATCAGAAACATTCTATTCATCAATTATTTCTTTATATTTATTCATATTTGATTTCTTTATATTTATTCATATTTGATCTTGACTAATTCTAACAAATTTGTTGCACTCCTGACCAAGGGCATGGGAATCTTTAGAGTAAAATTATGAAGCGAAAGTTACATCAGAACGTGTTCTGTTGTTTTAGTGAAGTTGAGGCGGAATTACTCAAATTTTATATCAATTTCTCAGTGTGTTTATTTTTTACATTCATAAAAAATCAAAGAGAAGATAAAACACATCTGAATTGATAAAAATGAAAAAGAGAAGGATTTTAATAATAAAACTGTCAAAAAATTAGTACTGAATTATTCAAATAGATCATTATTAATTCAAGAATATTTCTAAACATGAATAGAAGTCTTTTCATCATATAACTTGAATATTTCAAAAAATGTGTTGCACTCCTGACCATAGAAATATAGATCTGAAGCACAGACAGATCCTGTAATTGATAAATCTATTTGGTAAAAATGATCTTTGTGTATTTATTTTCCAAAATAAAAAAACAGAGAATCATATACTGATAAAGGTTTTTTCATGCTGGGGAGCAAAATATCAAATGTTGCACTCCTGACATTGGGTATGCACAGATACTTGACTCTTATTAATTCTGCTTGTGATTTATATAACATTTTTAAGTGTTAAATTGTACATCAGTTATTGTTTTAGACTTTGAAAATTCTTTTTTGATTTAATTCTCTTCCAGATTTTTAAAATCAATGTTTTTTGTTTATTTGTTTGTTTGTTTTGTTTGTTTTTTTTTTTTGGGGGGGGGGCAACTCTACATTTTTTTTCTGTTGCACTCCTGACATGGTATAACATTTTTTTTTCAACATCAGCCATGACCACAGCTTGGTCAAATAAAAGTTGCTACAGTCTACATTTAAAGCTCAATACATGAATATTATCAGGAAAGTCTTTATGTCCTACATAAATCAGTATTATTCATTTCACAGATCTTCAAAAAATATTGAATTTTCAAAATGTCACAAAAAGGTGTTACACTCCTGACATTTTTAGCATCATTTTTGAGCATAATTTTTTTTGTGAATTGAGATATCAATGAGATATTTGGCAGGTATTTAGACACCATCTAAAGACAAAGAAATTTATTCCCATTGCCTGTATTTTTAGTGCAGGTTGATAAATATGTTTGGTCATTTTTTTTAATTCACCCAAACATATTTTATGTCTATATCATTTAAGATATTAAGATATTATGGATTTAGTTCTCCGTCATCGCTAAAAATAAACCGTACTGTATCGTTGATATTTTGCAGATAATGACAGTTTCTGCTCATTTGCATAAAAAAAAAACGTCCACAAAAGTGTTCTGTATTGCATTTATTGTACGGTTGACTTCAAGGAAAACTCGCCGGGTCACGTCAACTTACAGAATTGTTTTGAAGTCTTTAATTTTCAAATCAGTGGTATTTCTATCATTGCAAGTTTTATGACTTGATGAAAAGTTGGAAAACTAAAATTTAATGAATTGTTATTAATACTTTTAATCAACTTTCATTTGACTATAGATACCTTTTCAAGTTCAGCTTTGTGTTTTTGTTGTTGCTTAAGATCGCGGTTGTATTACAAAAGTTATTGGATTGAAAAAACAAGATAAAACCTAGAAAAGCTTAAAGTGAACGAAAGATGAAAAGCTCCACAACATTCCTATTAGAACCTCATTGTTAGTTCTTCATCACAAGTATATATGCTTTGTTATACAACGCAAAATATTATAACGAGGCAAAATGTTATAAACTGAGATTATTATATTTTGCGTAATTACATTTTGCATC